GAGGGGGATGTGGGGGGGGGTTCGAACCCCCCCCCTCCATCAAGGAGGGGGTGGGGGGGGGGTCCAGTTTCACCCCCCCCCTCCAAGCGACCGCAGAACGCGCTTTTTCTCATGTTGGTAACGGAGCGCGTTGCGCTCCCCGGCCTCTCCGCGCCAGTTGTTACGACCGCGAGCTTCGAAGGAAACGGTATCGAAGCATGTCCTATAGCTGGTCGTCAACAAAGCTGGGGGTCCTACGAAGAGGATCTCAGTGCGTGGGTGCTGTCCACAGAACTGAAGCCACAGCGCATGGAACCACGCATCAAAAGTATAGGTTTGTCGTCAAACCGGTTGTTCTGGAGTCAGGCTAAACTTTTGTTGACGTGGCTCGGTTGTCTATCGATCCAAAGAACGCGTCTGGAGCGACTGGCTCCATTTGTTTCAAATATTTGCAGACGTCTGGGGCGAGCCTGACTGGCCCGATTGTCAGTGTGAAGACACGTCTTACTACGACCAGTCTTGGCAACGAAACCACCTAGGAAGACGCCGCCCACGGAAACGGAAAAGGGCGTCGGAGGCGTGGCGGCCCCAGCCACTGGGTTGAGAACTGCCCGCGTCCACCAAATTAAGCGCCCAACAGCAAGGGCAAAGGAGAAATAACCTTTACCCTCGGCGTGGGGTGCAGGCACAGGGCGCGGAACATGAGCTGGAAAGGCAACCCCTGGCAGAGGAAAAGGAGCCAATACTTTACCAGGCAGGTAAATATAGCGGAAAGCCCGCAACTGGAAGTTCCGAAAGCAAAGGCAACAAGAAGGGCAACACTTCATAGAACACGTCGGAAGACAAGCAAACGCGCATTCACAGCTGATGACTCCAGGTGGTGGATGGGGACTGGCGACTGGTCGGGGCATCCTGATCGGAGCTCTGGTCAAGCTAGCGGCTACGCGCACCCCCCCGACTCGGATGCCCAACTAGCTCGGCCATTCGCGACGGAGCACTCAGACGAGCCTGCTTCTGACAGCCGACCACCGCAACCGCCCCGCGAGCGGGGGCCGCCGAGCCCGCCGCTGGAGCAAGCGCAGCAGCTACGCGCCTCCAGAGCGCAACTGCTCAACAACAAGCTTGCGCAACTCCGGCACCTCCAAGAACAGAGATTGCCAGAAACATCGCGTCCGCCTCCCAGCGCTGCAACAAGCGCGTCGCCCAGCTACGCCGCAGATGCTGGGCCGTCGAGCCTGGGCCCCCCAGCCGCTGGAATAATGTCTTTGGGCGCGCTGGACCGGCGAACCCGGGTTCCCCGGCCGCTCGGGGAACCGCTCGTGCCGCCCGCGGCCTGTCGCCCAGCGTTCCTTCCGGACCGGCGTGCCCCGGCTTCCGGGCTGCTGGAGTGGATGGATCGCGCGGCGCGCCCGCGTTCAGGGCACCTCGCACCAAAGGCTGCCCCCGCCGGCTGGCGCGGGTCAGCTGCCGTGGCGAGTTGATGGCGCAGCGCAAGTGCATGTCCCGCGTAGAGCGCGGGAGCGCGTGCCTCGCCTGCGAGGGCGTCGACTTGGAGGACCCGCAAGTCCGCGGGCCGCGCCAGTGCGTGGGCCCGCAGGCGTGCCAAACCGGGCGAACGACGACTGCGGCGACGACGACCTCGATTCCGACGTGGGCGACAGCGGCGAAGAGGATGCGCACGACGAAGACCGAAAGACCGCTGGAAAACCGAAGGACGAATCCGACGACGACGACGAAAGGAGCGACGACGGCAAAGACGACGACCCCAAAGAAGACAACCGCGCTTCCTGCGTCGCAACCCAGAAAAGATTCTAGCACCTATCCAGTCTGGTGCGCCAGCGTCTATCTCGGCCAGCAAACAAGCCAACGCACCATCTGCGCGTGCCAACGCAACAACGTCTGCCACACCTTCGCGCCTGGGTTTCCCGGCGGAAGGAACGGCGGTCGGTTGCGCCGCCACGGTTGCAACTGCCATCGGCGCCCAGGTGCTGGCACCGCCGGGTTGCACGAGCAAGGCTCGACTTCCGCATCCAGAAACCCCCGTCGAAAGCGTGTCCGCCGGCCCCCCGGCAGGGCGCGCGGCCGAAAAACAGCTCGCGGCGTTTCCGCCGGCGCGCCGCTTGAGCGGCGCAGAGCGTAGTTCCAACGGAATGCCCTGAGCATGAAGTACACCGAACGCCGGGCCACGCAGAAGCTGCAGAATAAGCAGGGTGCGTCCCAGGAGCTGCAGCTTGAACGGGCTGTAGACCTAGCCCAAAGGGACCAGCAGGCAGCGCACGAAACAATCTGCATTGACAAACGCATCAAAGATGCTATAATGATGACAGTGGAAAGCCAGAAAGATACCACGATCATCTGTACCGCCGAAACGTCCCACAGATCGGCCATCATGTGTCTGCAAGAAAGCTCCGGGATAGACACAGAGAGAAAAACGACAGGACCGACTGGGAACAACGTCGTGGTAGGCATGCTGGCTTGGAACAAAGTGCCGCTAGCGTTCCCGATTGCGTTTCGGATCGTA